AGTGAGAGTTAATTTTATTTAACTCTCACTATTAATTTGTAAATCAGGACTCGTTTTAATCTCAAGGCCTTCAATTTAACTACTTAAAAATATTTTAAAAACTTTTTTAACTAGCAATTACTTATTTACAAATTCCCAGTGAGAGTTAATTTTATTTAACTCTCACTAGTAATTTGTAAATCAGGACTCGTTTTAATCTCAAGGCCTTCAATTTAACTACTTAAAAATACTTCAAAAACTTTTTTCACTAGCAATTACTCAGTCACAAATTCCTTGTGAGAGTTAATTTTATTTAACTACTCAAAAATATTTTAAGAACTTTATTCACTAGCAATTACTCAGTTACAAATTCCTAGTGAGAGTTAATTTTATTTAACTCTCCCTAGTAATTTGTAAATCAGGGCTCGTTTTAATCTCAAGGCCTTCAATTTAACTACTTAAAAATATTTAAAAAAATTTTTAAATGAATCATTTAAAACTAAAATGGTTTGTAAGAAATATTACAAATAATTATTTATGAACCAATAGCATTGAATAAAAGAGGGCAGGTGGTGGTGAAAATTTCAATTACAGATAAATTGGGGATAATTGCGTAAGTTATTTGATGAATCGAAAATTCTTGATTCAAAAAGCCAATTTTTTTCAACATTTAAATATAAGGCCGCAATAAAATATACATTCAAAAAATTTAAAGGAGAAAATAATTTTAAATAAGTTAGCGTACAGTTTGAGAATCATTCTAATTTATCTCTTGCAGAAAATTTAATTATAAAATTTATCTACAATATAAAAAATAAGAATTTAACTGCAAAAATAGTAAATTCCTTTTAAACAAATTTCTAAATAATTATCTGTAATTAATTATTTATGAAAAAATATTTTCAAAAATGCATGAAAGGAAATAGAAAACTATTTTAAAATATCGACTACTCAATATCGACTACAATACTACTTTTTAAAACAAAAAAGCGTATAATTTTTTCCCTTATTTAAATACTAACCACTAATTCCCGCTCCAATCACGATGACATCAGAGTCCATGGTTAAATTTTGATTACCAGAAACGGATCGAAATTGACGAGCGAATTGAATTGAAAAAGAATGATGCGATATGAAGATGGTCGAATTTTAAAAAATTTGGCGAACTTGGCTTGTTAAATCTAGCCAACTTATGATGTCAGAATATCTGAAAAAAGATATGCATTCAAGTGTGAAAAGATTTATGTTATCTTATCTGGATAAAATAGCTTTAAGAACTTTCCATTACCGGTTTCTCCTAGCTGAAAGATACAGACATAAAGAAAAAAAAATTTTATTTTTTGAAAAAGTTTTTAAATATAGATATATTGTACTCTAATGTATACTTTTTATGACTCTATTTTTCTGCTCAGAATAATATACAAAACAAATTATTTCTTTTCATTATTTATAGACAATTTTACGATGTAAAAAACTGTACTTAATCACAATAGCGTCTGAAATTCTTTTGAATTTATCCGTAAAACTCGTATACCCAAGGACAATTTAATGCAACAAAAAAAATATTTAGAAATTTTTTGTTATTTAATTAATTAATTATTAAAAACTATTCTAACTATAAACATTTACAGGTTCTTAAACAGCATAAGTGGGAATCTAATATTGGAATAAAATCGGTTAAATCATCTGTAAAATAAAAGTGTAAAAAATGTCGTAATTTTTTATTTTTTATTCTTACAAAGTATTAAATAGATTTTGTTCAACTTTTAGTCCTTCTTGCTAAAAAAAATAATATTGCTTAAAATCATCTAACCACTTTACATTTCAAAACACAAATCAAATTGAGTTATAGAAAATAACTACATAAACGTTTTAAAATACCTCTATATTAAAATGATACCCTATTATTACAAAGTTTTAGCATGGGCAAATTCAATAAATGGATGGGAATATTTTTTGTTTCAGAAATTCAGTTTTTAAACATGATAGAAAAATTTGAAAAATAAAATGATAATAATAATTAAAGGGTTGGGCTTTCAGCCGGCTTCCTAAATTTTGAGGGTTGAGAAAAAAGCATATTTATTCACATAAAGTAGAGAATATTCTAATATTCACATAATTAGAGCTCTGCAGCCACACTATAAAAATTACGGTAAAAAATAACGGTCATCATGGTACCGGTACTTATTACCGTAAAATCCATTTTTACAGGAACATGTTGCGGAACAAAAAATATAATACACAGTAATAATTACCGTAAAATCGCTGAATCACTCTAATTAAATAAATATTGCTATAAAAACTAACGTTTAATATTTTACGGTAAAATGGATTTTACAATAAAATGGTTTTTACAGGTGATGCTCCCAAAGTGCCTTTACTTTATACCGTAATTTGATTCGGAATTTTTTATAGAGGCGAAAATTCGAAACACTCGTATAATGTGAATTTTAACTTATCCATTTTATCGAAAGTCAATTTATTACATCATTTATCTAGATGTTGATACTTTACAATTCATTTAATATTTTTACTGTTTCGTCACAATTTACTGTTTTATGTTTTATGCATATGTGAGTAATGTTTCGAAAAATAGCCAAAATCTAAAGTTATGAAGCATTCTGTAAGAATCTATCTTTTTCATCTTTTAAGAAAACAATTTACTTCATACTACAAAATCATTCGCCCATTGTAATTAGTAAATTATTGATAAACATATTCATTATTTAAAATAAATATTCATTGATATTCAATATTCCTTGATATCAAATTAATAAATATTCATTGATATTAAATTAATATTCATTGGTTTAAAATAAATATATAATATACATAATATTGCGAAAAGCAAAATCTATTTACTATGAAACTTTTAAATTAGATTTAAACTGTGTTTTAAAATAAATCAAAAAGTAATTTCGGAAACAAAGTGTTAAATTTTGAATCAAAACATTTATTATAATAAGATTTGTACACATCAAAACATTTTTTAAAGTAAAAATGCATAATTTGTTCAATGTACATAGTTTCCAGTATAGTTTTATGGTTAATTAAAAATAAACACCAATTATAAGGATTTTTAAAGTTACAGAAATTCATTTTAAAATGAAGCGTTAATTTATACAGAATATATACAAATTATACCTTTTGTTGGTGATTTTAAATGTTTAATTACGCATTAAAGATGTTTTTCATTAGAAAACAATACAATCAGGTGATCAAATTAAATTTGGATACTGGTGACTTTTTTGATGATCGGCAGCTTTAAATAATAAATTTAGTTTAAAATTTTAAACTTACCGTTATATGTGATAGTTAAGTATAAAGAAGAGCTTCACTTTAAAAACATATCAAATGCGTTGTGTGAAACGGTGCACTCAGATGTATAACATCTTACCAAAGTCAAAATTACTCCTTAAGTCATCTAATGAAACGAAAAATTCCAGAGAGATTGTAAGTCTATGTTTGTTTTATGAAATTAAATAACTCTATCTATACACTACAATTTTCAGGAAGAATTTTCTATTAGGTTGAATACTCTTACTTGAATACTCCTTCAAAAATGCTACGTCACCGCAGTAGATAATTAACTTAAAACTAATGAACTATGGGTTTCTCAATATTGTCGCTATATTGACAGGAATTAAATGTAAGAACGCGTCAAGAAGTGATACACTTGCTGCAAGACAGAACTGTACCCCGCTAAAACTGGTGATAGTTTTCTGTTTCTTTTATCAGTTAGTCATTACAATACATTTAAAGTTAAGCGAACAAAATTAACTATTAGTATCGTTAAAAGTGACATTGTTTGAAGGAGTGGTTCACTTAATGTGAAACAGAAATAAATATGTGATTAGAACCGGCAATAGTTTTTCTTTCAGTGTCATCGGAATTTAAAATATTAACCTTCATTTAAAAAGTATGTGAACGGAATTAATAATTAGGATTATTGCCAGTAAAGGCATTGAAAAAATTTATGACACAATTTATATACGACCCCAAAGCCCTTTCGAATTGAAAAAGCACTGTGTTAATTATTTTTTTTTTCATACAAAGTGTTCTGTGATGACTACTCTTAATGTATATTTTTAGAATCCTTGTCAAAAATGAAGTCAAAAAGGTATGCTCATTAGGAGTTGTAAATAAATATTCAAAGCGAGGAAAAAGCAAAATGAGGTATTTGTGGTTGAAAACATTAAAACCTGTTTGATTACTGGAGTTACAGAAAAGGGGATTAATATAATAGGTATATATTAGCAGCACATCCACGTTTCATTAAATAATTAAACTAGTTCTGACGTTTTTCATCCCGGCTTTATGACTAATAATTCGTCAAATTTTTAAAGCTTTTCTGCAGTTTTCAAGCATGAATATTAATTTGCAGTCTCTAATGTGTACACTTTTTAACCTTTTTTAATAAGAGTTCTATAAATATGTATCAAGACACAACTTTCACAATAACATATGAAACTATGTGCAATAATATTTAGTTGTTATAAAAAGTTAACAAAGCAGGTGGTTAACAAAAAAACAATTAAAACAGAAAAAATCCTGAAAAATATAGCTTTTGTAGGCTCTTAACTTTTGAAAAAATTTCCTCCAACCAGAAATTTGAATCAATATGATATTAGTTTAAGAGTCACTTGCTAAATCTTTTGCAGTTATTCCTTATGGATTTATAAATAGGGAAATGTAATTTTTTTTACAGAAATTTGAATAGTTTATTTTTAAATGAATAATTATAATTTTTATCGATTATAAAAGAGTATTAGAATTGTTTCCATTCAAAAATTAAATGTGTTTCAAAAAGCATTATGCATATACTTGTTTTGAAATTTCTTTCTCTTCTTCTCATTGGCACGACAGTCCAGGATGGGCCTTGGCCTTTTCAACAAGCCTATGCCAAGAAATTTCTTTACTCATTACTAAATTCAATTATATTCTCTCTAAACACTCATGCATCAAAATTTCAAGCAATTTCTTTTCATTTGAAAATTTTGTTAAAGAATACAGAATGAATGCCGCTTGGTGAATTTGAAATTTCGAATTTCTCATTCTTTTAAATCGCTCATATATTATTCTCCTTGCATTTTTTAGCAACTTTGGCACGTGTTGAACCATCTACACGTGTTACTTATATTCGAAATTTATTCAGCATTCAAAATAAGCACGTTCAGCATTCGAAATTTACGCTTACGAATTAATTTGCTGTCGCTTTCAAATGAGACCAAATTAAACCATATCACCCTAATTCTTTAATTTGATTACACAATACTATGGATCTTGATCCAGAACTTAATTTAATTAAGCCCCTTATTATATTTTAACACCCTGCAAGATTATAGCAAGCTTGCCAGTAACGGCACAACGTGAATACCTTTTTGTGAGTCGATACTTTAACTTCATTGAAAAGTCTTAAACAAACTTAATTAACTATTAGAGTTGGATTCTGTGCTAGACAATTTGGCAATTTATTATTTTCTTTAGCTCTTTATTATGTTATATCTAATTTGCCCGCTACGGTTCAATATTGTATCGATTATATAGAGCAGTGTTTTCCAAAGTGTAGTACGCGTACCCCCAGGGGTACGGGAACAGTTTAGCGGGGGTACGCTTTCTTATGCAAAATATCTTGCAACAAACGAAAATTTCAAAACATTTTATTTAAAAACAAAGCTAGCCATAAAAATTTACGATTACGTATTTTTCTATTGGCTTTTTTTTTGGAGAGTTGACAGTTAATAATTAGTAGTGTCAACATCCAGTTGTGATTTTTAACTTTAATGCAATTTTTTATAGTAAAAATGCATTCATTTTTTTATTAGTGGTAGTGGAGTTACGAAAAATTTAGAAAGGGTACATAAATGTCATAAGTTTGGGAAACACTGATATAGAGAGACCATGCTTTGACTTCAATTTAAAAAAAAACATTAAGCAAGCATAACATGTGGGTTTTGAACCTGCACTAGTCAATTTAACACCTTATTATATAACAGCAAATTTGCACATTGCAGTTCAACGTGAAATTTTCTGAGAGTCTACTTTGNCTTTAAAAACATATCAAATACGTCATGTGAAACGGTTCACATAGATGTATAACATCTTACCAAAGACAAAATTACTCCTTAAGTCATCTAATGAAACGAAAAATTCCAGAGAAATTGTAAGTCTATGTTTGTTT